AACTGCAAAGCTGGTCAAAGAATGCGCCGAATGCTATGTGCTGGAGGAAACGTGCCCGCGACACTCCGGCCGCCATTATTTGAAGAAACTAAAAGAAAGATCAGTAAAGCTACAAAACATTATAGAAGCATTTGCGAGCTGGCTCACTTCACATGTGTCGTTCCCTCTTTAGGTACCACATTGTTTTTTTACCATCACAACGGCATCCTTAAAGGGGCCCTTCAACACTTTTGAAGCACCTATTTTTTGTATGTGTTTTGCGTAGACCGATGGCCAGGGATAATTTAGGCATAGGTCCAAGCACCGATATCAAATCAGTATTTTAATCGTGCAATAAAGTCACTTCATTGCTGCTGACCGCGTCATTGCACAGTGGCGCTCGGTAGACCAAAGCGGGGGGAAATGACGACGAAGAGCGCAGCCTATCACAGGACGCGTAAAGCCTCGCTTCGAAGCAAAAGGACCTGCTCAAGTTCTGACAAGTCGGGGAGGCTCATTTCTACCAGCCTCGCCCAGCTGTTCGACCGCGTAAAGAAAACGGCGTGGTAAGGCACGAGGTTGCCTGTTGCTATAGCAACAGCGTCATAAACACATTTGACTGAACAGGCAAAAATGGTGTACGAGCTTCCTCTACGTAAGAGCTTTCAGCCCATGTCATTGGAAGCCCCCTGCAACGTCACAGCAGAGAGTGAAATGTGGTCATGTCACTCCGCAAAATTTTAGTTGAAGGTAGGCATTTTTTTCTTGTATTTTGAATTTTTTAATTAAATTGAATAACTTCGTACTGCGTGCCACTATCGCTGCCGTTCTTGCTGCCCTAATTTGTCCGTGCGTCAGTCTATGCATTCCACGAGTAAAGAATGGGGGGTTGAAAAGTGTTAGAGGGCCCCTTTAATACGCTGAACCTAACAGGCAATATGTTATGCGAGCTTCCTGTACGATAAGGCTTTCAGTTCATTTCATTGGGCAGCCTTCTGATGTCAACAAGCAAGGAAAACACGGTCAGGTAAGCCCGCAAAAATTGAGTTCAGGGTAAGCACCCAATTCATTGTATTTTGGTATCTATACGCTGAATAACTTTGCATTGCGTGGCCCTATCGCTGCCGTTATTGCGGCACTTATCTCGTAAGCCGCCAGTGTACACAACCAGCTAGAAAAACATATAAAACTATGAAGTCGTGAACAGTGTTAGAGGGCCCCTTTAAGTTGTCATTTCAAGATTGGAATAAGGTGGTCTGGCGCATGTGCCATCATTTGTCCTTTCTTCTGTGTGTGATCTCCTCGCCCTCTTGACTGTATATATATTCCTACCATCTCTGCAATAAAATTGGTTGTAAGTGTGCGCTCTGTCCTATCTTCCTTCTGAAATGTTCCCTGCGCACTAACCATGTATATTCCTTTCAAAAAGCAGGCAAGCATTAGGCAGTTTTTCTCTGCTAAATAAAATGGCAGTGTGACAGACCGAGCTGGTTAGAGTCTCTTGTATGTTATTTTTTTCTATTTTAAACCTGCACGAGCAGAAAAATTAGAAACTGCCGATGAAGAGCTGTTAAGTAGTAGTAATTTTTCTGAAAAGTGCTCATTCTTCCCAGCGATCAGTGCAACATTGCTTATCTCAAAACTTTCCCTGGTAACTGAGACTTAACGAGGTATTACTTATACATATTTGAGTGCATATATCATACTCACGTAATCCTCGCGTTGGCATAAGTCTCGTACCCCCTATATTGCCCAACCAAAATACAATTTTTTTTTTTCTGGTGAGTAATTATCGCATCCCCAAAAATTGCAGCAGTAGTAATGTCGTCTGCTCGTTCCAACTACTGATCATGATCAGGCAGGACAACCTAGCACCATCTCTTAAATGTCATGCATACTATCTATGCACAAAGCCTCAATCCAATCCAAGACAAGTGGCAAAAGTGCGATGCGACTTGTATTGTCTGTTGTGCCCACTCTGTGGTTACGCTACGGGGCGATACAGAAGCTACACGACTGGTTTCAAGTGAAAAATTATTGATCATGCACTAAATGGCAACAGGGCTCCGCTAGGCACTTTGGAGTTCACAAGTATTGTGTTCGCTACTGGCAACCACAGCACAAACAGCTGAAAGCCACCACGACGTGTTGGGCATTTCATGTGCCTAAGACTGAGATGGACGTTAAACTTTATTTCGTCAGAAGGCAACTGATTGATTGATATGTAGGGTTTAACGTCCCAAAACCACCATATGATTACGAGAGACGTCATAATGAAGGGCTTCGGAAATTCCGACCACCTGGAGTTCTTTAACGTGCAACCAAATCTGAGAACACGGGCCTACAACATTTCCGCCTCAATTGGAAATGCAGCGGTCGCAGCCGGGATTCGATCCCGCGACCTGCGGGTCAGCAGCCGAGTACATTAGCCACTAGTCCACCGGTCAGAAGGCAACTGCGGACGATTCAGTGTTAGATGGCCATCTGACAAACATTAAGTTTGTACGCCACCCTTTTGTGAGCTCCCATTGATCGACGAACGCTAACGCTACCCCTGCAATGCCCACAAGCTTTGCGTATGGTATTCTAATTCTTTACTATTTTCTCGCGGCTTTTCTGCCTCAAATCTTGCCTCGTGTTGAACCTGTGGTTTTATTAAGGAAAGTCTTGTTCAGTACTTCTCAAAGCTTGCAGTTAGTTGATGGTGTGAAAATCCTGATTGGAGGCCACTTCGTTTTCTCTTTCGCTCTGTTGTTATTACGAAAAATCTTCCCCGCGTTATTCTCCCATCCCCCAACTTTTCATCGGTTTTCCGCGGAAGAAAGTGCCAAGATTATGCGAGTAAATACGGCAACCTCACTGTAAAACTGGTTTCACTGCACTGTGGTAGTGCTATGCCGTAAAACCACGGATCGAGGAGCATTCTGTTCTGCCACGAATGCACACTATGAGGGTAAATGTACACATTACCTTCACCACAATAAATTATTTTCTTAAAGCCAAGCATGTATTAGCTAAGCAGAGTAATATTTAAGACAAAATAATGTACTAGCCATCATTTACAACCTACCGCTAACCTTACTACAATTGAAGGTTGCTTCCACTTCACTTCGAACAAAATACAGTAGACTCTCATTAAACTAAACCTGAAAGAACAAGAAGAATGTGTTCCATTTAACAAGAACTCTATGTAGAGAGATTAACAAGAGTGGAATATCCAAGCGTGAAACCAATTGTGCTGGAGGCAGTTGTTCGATTCAAGCAGCAGTTTCATTTCACAGATTCCCATTTACTGAGAGTTCTGTAGTAACATTCACACACACCTACTCCCAATTCTTGATAATAGAGGTGAACCTCTTGAATAGAGGTGAAGTATTACGGCTTGGTGGCTCTAGCCACCGCCCGATCTAAAGGGTACAGCCATATCCAGTCATCCATCCATCCATTGTCTGTTTACACAGCCCGCACTTTTGCCTCCTCGAAGTGGATTTGAAAGAGTGTAAACAGAAAAGAGTGTCGTAATAACTGCCACCCTCAAAGGAATGCGAAAGAGAGGAAAAGATGTTTGGTCTGGCCGTGCACCAATGCATGCTGCCTTCTAAGGTGTTGGTTTTCCGGTGATTATAATAATATTCACTAGATGAGGCACCATCGTTCATGGCAGCGCACACCCCTCTCGGCACGTCGGCTGTTTTTCACTTCGCTGGGAGCCTACGCAGTGAGCACATTTGGTCACCGCTTGGCTATGTGTACATCAAAGTGTATATAGCCCATCCAATTGTGAATTAATAAACATTGTAAATGTAGTTTATATATAACAACGTTGTCAATCCATATACGACGATAGCAGATGTGTACAGAGGATTCACGGGTTACACGATTATATCAAACAAAGCAAGCTCCTATAACATTGATTTTGTAGATATGGCAGCGATATTTTTTTTCCGCCATTCCGCTTCAACAAATTCCAAGCTCAAATGTTTAATGCCGTGCAGTAAACACAATCTTAAGCATTTTGATGCATTCAGAACATGAAAATACATCTAAGGAGTCTAAAACTAGCATTGGCACCAGCAGAAACCGTCACTGTTTACTAAGCATGCAGGCCGCCATTGCAGCCATGGCAATGAGACTGCCCTGCTTTTGCCATCAACTTGCTTCTGAGCCGCAGACAATCCGAAGCTGAAGCTCAGTCGCTCAGTTCATGGAGTTTCCTAGATGCTGCTGCTGCTGGGGGCAATTGCATAACGATGCCATTTCCAATTCCAATGCTATTGGCTCGATTTCCAATACTTGGTCAGTGTGGTCACTCGTCAGAGTGGCTGTTCGTACGTGTTATCAACAAAATCAGCCAGCTGCAATTAGTGGATGATAAGAATAGCACAGAATAACACATAAAGCCCGGCTCCAACATACCAAGCCTGCCTCTCGGCGTTGTCGGACACCTTTTGAGGGTGGACAGCTGCTGGTGTAAGCATGTTAGAGCAACTGTTAGGTTCATTTAAGAAGGTTGTTGAGGCTGTTTCAGCGTGCTTTTCAACATGACATTGCTATGCATGCATGGGGATCACGTCATGACACTGCTGGGAAAAAAAAAGATAGCAGCTGACATTTTTTTGATTTTGGAAATGAAAGTTCCTTTGTTTTGCTAACTCAAGTAATACATTTTTTTTGTTCGATTTCATTACTAAATTTTTCCTTGAACAAAATTTTTTTCATGCCTCATCAGTTTCGTTGTAGCATCATTCGAATGCATTCGAACTATTCGGTTCAATATTCCCCCAAATCTCTATTCACTTCGAACCCCAACCAAGTTCAACCCGTGCCTGGTTTTCTCCATAGACAGTGGGGCAGGCCCATATGTTTCCCAAGTTATTTCGCAAGTTACAGTGTATGATTCAAAGAGGCAGAACAGGTATGCTGGGATTGGCAGTAATAGTGTTAAGCTTCTAACGAACTCTAGCACATGCAGCTCTGTAACAAGTTCTGTAACTTGTAACTGTAACTAATCCACCACTCGCCAGTTGTGAAACTGTCCGTGTCACTCTCATTGGGGGACTGCGTGCTGCTGCTGTAGTTGAAGTAACCAGGGGGCGGCTTGCGGCCCAGCATGGACTCTCCCAGGGATGGAAAGTCATCCACCAAGGTATCCACAGATGCTGCTGCGGCACCTGCACATTTTTGAACGGCAGACTCGTCTGTTTATGTTGATGATGTTTTTCGTTGGTGACCACTTTTCAGCGCACAAATATACAATAATATTAATGGTGGGGTCTGATGTCCCAAAAGCATGATGTGATAATGAGTGACGGCATAGCGGAGGGTTCCGAATACATCATCTCCTGGGGTTCCTTAAAAAATCAGCTGTCACAATTAGTGCAACGCTAAGTGGCTGCTATCTCATATAGGTCTATAAAAGCACAAGAAAAATTTTTTCACTGCGGTTTTGGAAGGTGGCGGCAGTGCCATGATGTCTGAAATTTGTTTAATTTTCTACAAGTTCAGCGATGTTTCATCATCGCTGGACTTGTCACGGGCAAGTTGAGATGAGCTGGCCCAATTCGGTTCCACGTCGTATGCCATCGCCAGCTTGCTTTTCACGCGAAAAAAAAGGCGCATGAGCTATGTCGACACCCTGGCGAGCCGAGGCGACGCGATGTCTGCAATGTCTGCGCATACCTAGCATGGAGCAGCTCCCCGTTTCAGTTCTGAATCATCGCTTATTGCTTATTTGAAATTATTCATGGGTATCATGGCAAAACAAAGCACTCTAGCTGCTACAGTTCTGCTAATACTATTAAAAAATGGCATTATATCTCAATATGGTCGAAAATGCACAATAGTTCCCCTTTACCGTGCACCTAAATCTAAGTACAAAGGCCTCAAGCAACTCCACCGAAAATGCGGCTGCTGTGGCTGGGATTCAATCCTGTGACCACTAACCACCGTAGCAGATACCCAAACCACTAGACTACCGTAACCATTAGGATACCATAGCAGATACCCGAAAATACAGTAGACTCTCCGTAACTCAAATGAATTATTTTTTGGTTGGTCCACTGCTTTCAATTTATTTTAAAGCAACTGCTTCATTGCATTACCTTAATTCCTAGATTTAGCTTGTCCGTGCCCAAAAATATGTTGCTGCCTTTGTTACTTCTGACTGAAAGTTTGTGTTTTTATATCACGAACAGTTGCAGATATCGCCAACTTCGTGCACACAAAGCAGCCAAATTAGCCCAGCCGCGTGAACAATTGCATACTGCCCAAGGAGCAAAGCCTCAGGTTCGAGGGCCCTAGAACACTTTTCTTAGTCATAATGAAACAGTCTCAATACTAGCACACCATCTGCTGAAATGGTTCCGACACCACCCAGTCCATCATCTGCACTATTGAGACCAATAAAAGAAAGTCAACTACAAGGTGCCTACGGTAACGAAAAAAATCCAATATTATTTGTCACATGAAAGGCAGCCAGCTTTAATGCCGCCATGTTGCTCAGGAAGCCTCTGCAGAGTTAGATGATTAGATCGTTCGTGATGTCCTCAAAGCACAGGTGGACAGTGATCTCGACGACTACCCGCACACACCCCAGCCATCAAATGCGGATCTGGCACACGCCATAGCAGTACTATCGCCAAACTACAGCGACGGTCATACACTGCCTTTATTACAGGCAGACCTGATCATTCGTAAGCATGCATGTGTGACCGCAGACATGCATTTATAAGGCTTTCCAGCCACTGAGTACATAAAGGTGCTTTTTTTTCTTTTCATGTTTTTCCCCGGGTGAATTCCCCCCCCCCCCTTTTTTAAGACTTTTGATGTTTCAGGTCTCTCGGCAGTTCTCACACAATCAAAATGAATGGTCGGCTAATGCAGCCCGATTTAACTCATTCTTGTGATCCAAACTGCTTTTATTCATCAGGTACTGTGACTGCTGAGCACTGGCCCTCGCAAAGCTGTTTGAAAACTCTTTTCCGTGGCACAAAATCTAAATTAGTGGAAAAATGCACACTGCTTATTCAAGTATGACAATCACTCTACATAACGATTTCACACTTTGCTCCCATTCTTAAAGCTTTGATATGCATGCAACAAAAATGAGCTCGAATGGCCGTTATTTACACCACAATTGAACCTTGCGCAGCTGAACAAAAAGAAGCAAAGGAAATTTGGTTGAATATCCAGTCATCAACAGTGTCAAGTGTGCTTATGAGAGCCTATCGTTTTCACACCGCAAAAACTCACCGGCTGTTGAAGGTCCTGGCTGCGGATTCCGAACCACTCGTGGGCCCTGGGCAGAGACAATGGTAACTTGGCTGTGAACACAGGTTGGTTAAGGGGGCCAAAATGTGACAAAAAATTTCATTTTTTAAAATTGACGTATTTGGTTTCTGCAAGTATTATTCTGTCACTCTGAAAATTTTCACAAACCAGGAAGTGGTAATTTTTTTTGTAATGTCATTCTGTCTAGATTCTTGGTGCTGTTAACATGCAAAAAATCTAGAACTGATTTCAAGGCTTCTTTATAACTTGCCGGCACCTGTTTTAGAAGCTCTTCTACGAATTTATGAGCACCTTTATGAGTATTCCAAAACATGCGCACCATGATTGTTGCTTTTTGAAGTAGCTGCGTGTTCTCAGTTTTTTCCAATTTTTTCAAAAATTAAGTAAATTTACAACTTTACTATTTTGAGGCTTCAATACCTCTGTAGCTAGGGAAGGTACAACAATAATTCTTTTTGCAATTGAAACCTGTATGTATGTAGAATGCAAGTATGGGAGCAGAATTTATAGCACACACCTTTGTAATTATTTAGCCATCAAATTGTAACACAATTCCAAATGCTTTTGAAAATGAACCTTCATTTTGCTGTAAAATAACCAAGAAAGGCCCAAAAACAAAAAAACTCCTGCATACTTTCAATCTATAGTCATTAGTCTATGTTGGCATACCTTAAATATTGCTTTTAATAAAGCACTTTTTTTTCTATGGCGGCCTTAAACAATAGGGGTTGAACATAAGTTATCTCAGGAATAAGATAAGCTATAGAAAAACTAATAACATATTTGAAATCAGCAGAAAAAACTACATTATCCTGTGCAGTTTGATCAAGATCACTGAAGAAATAAAAAAATTTTTAAGACCAGTCTACCACCTTATTAATCTGGGTTCTTAAGCTTTGGTGGCATTGTGAACAAAGCTGTGAATGACGAAATTTGAAAATTCTACACCGCTACTACGCAAAATTTGTTTACAGCGCAACACCAGAAACACAGGACAGGAAAGGAGCAAAAGAGAAATGACGACGCTGTCTTTTCTTTCTCTCTTGCTCCTTTCCTGTGTTCCTGGTGTTGCGCTGTAAACAAGTTCACGATAAATCCCAACTGTCTTAAACTATGCAAAATAATTCTTGCATTTATGTTTTTATCAACAAAGTGAAAATGTTGCTACTGTGATAGGTGCATGCGAGATCAGCCCGTGTCATCAAAGACATGTGCCACCTTGAAAAAGCAAGAAGAAACAGTAAGCAATGTTTGGCCTACATAGAACAGTGTATAAATAGGCATGCACGAAATGTTACACATAGTTTGATGTTTTGCATGTAACGGCTTGCTTATGTAATGTTGTGCACAGTGAAAATGGTGTTCTAACTATTACATTTTCATACGTGCTATCATGCGTATGGTTAATGCACTACTACATCAACCCAAATTTTATACAATCTTTATTATGCTCTTGTTTCCTTCCCTTGGAGTTGTCTGTAATGTCGAGGTTTCTTAAAGGGGCCGTGAGGCTGCCTGGTGATCATTTTCCTTGCTTTAAGAAGGACTAAACATGACGATTCAGGAACATTCTGGCATTATTCAGTCTATAATTATTGATGTCCACTTGAAATCACTAGTTTTCCAGACTCCACAACGACCACATGGCCCTATTTGCCTCCATAGGCACTGTGTTACGTTAGTGAAAAGGCATGCTCAGAGAAAATATAAACAGAGTGTTAGCTTTCTCTTGCTTAAAAATGATGGATATATGGGAACCTAAGAAAGGAAAAAATGACATCAGTTCTTGCCCTCTGAGCTATGTATAAAGTGGAGGTAAAATGAATGATCTGCTCGGTTCCGCTTTCAAGTAGTACATTCGGACTCCTTCCCGTGCTACTTCCGCTCACTCGGTGCAGCGTCCTAGTGTTTTTCTTACTGGTTGCGTTAGCTTTCGGTTAACGGCGTTTTTCAGGTGGCTTAGTCCTCGTTATGCCTACCATGTATATCGTCAGACAGTGTTGCACAACTTATCAAAGCACAAACAATGTTCAGGACAGCTTTACAGCACCGCAATCATGACTGTATAATGCTACAAACTTTAGTCAACATTGGCTCAGTGAACATCTCTGCATCGCGACATTTTGTCGATGACAGAGACTTTTCATTCACTAACTTAAAGTGATGTCAGCTGTACAGTTGAGAAGAAAGCAGAAAGTGAACATGAGATACAAATTGTGCTTTTCTAGCTATTAAATGAACCTAGACGAAAAAAGGAGTCGAGGTGTAGTTTCGAATTGACGGCAAGGATTCTGAATGCACACACAGTTGAAAATCTGCGGAAAGCGTTTCCCGACCCCTTTAAATAAATTGTCAGTGAGTTTGTATACTTCCTTCTGTTGGACCTCCTACTTGCTTATCGCCATGGATCTAATTGACCTTGCGAATTCACATAAACTGTCCTGAAAACAACTTCGATTAAGTTTTGAAGTTTCGAACATGAGGGAGGAGAGGGGGATGTCACTTCACCAGAAAACTGAATGCTGATTATAACGCCGTGGTAGCCACTGGTAGCGCACGCGCTCTTTGAAGAAGCATCAGCCCCCTGCTAAAATGATTCAATGTGCTGTGCTCTCATCACGAAGACACTGCAAAAACGACAGCTCTATCTGGAGCGGCCATATCTTCTTACACCAGTGTTTCGCAGAGTTACAAGAGATCAAATCCAGAAGAGTTAGCTGCCAGCCTTAGTTCATGTAACATTACAATTTGTTGCTTTCAGATTCATTGCTGAGCCTTTGTGGCGAAACCTCTTTAATGAACGCTTTCAATACTTTGACATTCAATGAGCGAGGACATAATTTTTCGATCCCGACAAAATCCGAATTAGAGTTAGACAAAAAGCGAGCTTGAGGTTCGAAGCGAATTCGAAGCAAACAGTGATATGGTCGCATAATTTCGAATCATATAGTTTGAATAGTATATATCCTATAGTATTAAAAAAAAAATAAGCCATTTCTTCCATGACCCAACTAACTTGCAAAATAGTTTATAAAAGTTGGAACTAGGCACAGGTAAACGTCACACCTACGTTCAAACAGGAAACAACTTTGAAAAGCAGCGATACTTGTATACCAGAAGGTTGCAAGGTATAACTGGAACAATGAATCAATTAAAGTTGATATACTTAGTGCATATGACTATATAGACCATATGACATGCCTTTAAACAAATATTTGAGGTAAAGGCAATCTGTACACTTGAAACTTTCGATGGAGATAGGCGGGGTCATGATAGTATGTTGTCGATATATTCCAACTTCAATATTTGCCCCGTTCCGAGTGCCTCTGGACACCTTGCGCCACCCGACTTACAAAAGAAGATCTATTTTATCAGTTCATCAGAGCCATTCAAATCTTAAACAACCAGTAGAAGCACGCCATGAGCCCACATAACTATTGCAACCGATCGCGATGCCACTTTTGCTCTCTTTCGGTCACTTTTCCTGGTTTTACTTTTCGTTGGAGAAATACGGCAATCGGCTACCTTCAGCTCCAATCTCTCTTCTTCCAAATGATGCAAAGGCAGCAACGTTCCATCTAGCGAGAGGTGCGGGATTGACGGTGTGGCGGCACTTCCTGAAGACCGATTTTTTCACGGTTTTGGACAACACACTGATAAAGTGCTATTTTCTCGATCACTACCGCATGGTTTGTTATAATATTTCACCACGAAGTAAAAGAAGGTCCCAGGATCGTAAAAAGAAAAATAATACTCATAAAGTAGATCATTTTGACCAAATCTACCGTTCCAATTGCCCCATCCCCCCTTAAGTTTAAAAGCTCTTCTTACCTACCAGCTCGTATGCTTCGAGTATAGTATATTTTATTAAAATGTAACATTTTACAGGTCACGTACAGGCAGCTTCAGGCGGCCACATACCCATGCCTAGCCTTTATGCACAAAATCATTCCAGAAGCGCACCCTCATGATGCGTGTCGCTATTGTGAAGATACAGCTAGTCTAGCTCACATGCTCTGGGGTTGCCGTCTGGCACCGGGGGCCAGGATCACTAAGAAAGAGTGGGACCGAGCTCAACGCAGCTCCTTGAAGCTTAGCTCTGGGCTGTCCATCAGGCCCGCGACGTGGGAAAGGGGCAAGGTCTCTTTGTCCCGACGTAAGAGCGACATGCTGCGCATTAAACGCACGCACCGAACGACCATAATAAAGTTATTTATCTATACATTCATCCATCCCTTGTATTCTACCGCAAGCAATGTTGCTACTGTTCAAAGTTGTTTACACTTCCTGTGAATCCAAACAACTGGCATTAGCACAGGCTTTGTTTCAATTTAAAAAATATTGTGCACATTGTGGGATCATAACAAATATGCCCATTTTTAATTATAACATAAAATACACACAATTCAAATTCAGCTCAAAACAAATCGCTATTCACTTCTAATTTACTTCGAACCTAAAATTCACTATTCACAGAGGCCTAATATTCACCCATCCCTACAATTGACGAGCTTTCCTTGCAATGAGGTTTAACTCGTCCACTTTCCTAGCGTAGTTCTTAAAATACCATACATCCCACCTTTCGCACCTTAGGCAAGAGTCTGCCTAAACTAAGGAAGTTTAATCAGCATTAACTAGTTCCCCATGATTGCAAGTAAAAGCTATGTGCTCACGACCCTATTCAACTTTTAAAACAAGCAGCATTCGCATTTGCTTCAATGCCCATAAAAACTGCACACCATAATATGGCAAAGTGTTTATTGGCTTCGTGCATTAATCAATTAATGCATTAATAATTGTAGGGGTTCAACATCCCAAAACCATTATATCATTATGACAGATGCCGCAGCGAACGGCTCCAGAAATTTTGGCCAGCTAGGATTCTTTAATGCACACCAAAATCGAAACACACAGGTCTCTAGTATTTTTGCCTCTATCGAAAAAGTGGCCGCCGTGGCTGGGTTCGATCCCGCAACCTGTGGGTCAGCAGCGCAGTACCTTAGCCACTAGATCACTGTGATGGGTAAGATAATGCATTCACACAAACTGGATGATTCTTCTGGTCCTGCGAAATCCAGACTAGGGATGCACGAATAATAGGTACGTTTGAGGCGAATTCGAAGCAAATATAAGTTTGTTAAACTAATTACTTATGCAGGAGTCACAATAGTATTCAGGTTGTTTTTTTTTTAGATAATACGTTTTTTTTTTCCATTTTTAATTCTACGACAGGCTCTTGTTCTTGCACACATGCTCATGTCGATGTAAAAATAATTTGCCACAAGTAAAATTCCGTTATGTTGTTAATTCAACCGAGGTCTGTTTGTTTATATTATAAATGCTGTAGAACTTTTTGACACACAATTTTTTTTTATATATACCGAAAGCAGCATGTAGCGTGAAATATTAGTCATCAAATTTTGAGGGCAATATCCAAACTGGTCTCGCCTGGTGCCCACCTCGAAGCGCAAATGTTGCGTGTGCTTCATGCATGCACGAAATTCAAGAACCATTATGCAATGCATTAGCAAAGGCAGACAATAAAGAACGATTCAGAAAAATTACAAAAAAGAAAACTAAACCAACATTGGCATTTGTTACAACGCTCATAAGATGACCAAACAGTTGCCCGAATGCGCCTATCCGACCGATGCCACTCGTACAACGTCCCAGCACATTTTAAGAGAGCACTGTTTGCAGTTTTTTTTTTACCCTGCTTTCGCCATAGTAGTCCTCCGGCCGCCTGGACTCCCTCTGGAGGGGCGGTGCAGCCCCCGCATAATTGGACCGGTTGTAGGAGCCGGGGTCTTCGCTGCCTCCAATGGGTCGCCGCGATGAGCCGCCTCGGGGTGTTGGCCGCTTGGTCGAAAAAGAGTAGACCAAAATTTTTTAAATTATGCAGCGATGCTCTCCTGTATCAAAACCTCAATACAATTTTGAGGAACAGCCGTAACAGGGTACTTACGGTCTGACCACCTGAAGTTCTTTGACGCTAACATAGCACAGGCCCTTTCAATACCAATCAGGGTCAGCTCAAATCAAATTTCTAGATTGAAACCAACAGTGGTCACCGCTACCCAGTCTGGACTTGATTGGATCGAGTTTGACACCGACACCCGTCTGGGCAAATATTGCAGTAGTCTTGACCCAGCCCGGCTCCATCGTGATTAAAGGTGACCACGTAGTGACAAGTGATCAGGGTCTAGCCTAATTGAGATGGGCCCTGACAGCAGCAAAAAGTGCCCATGAGACACGGGCATAAATTCCCCTTGGACCTTTGGTTCTGGATGTCTTTCGTATATCACCCACATGAAAACGCTGCCGCGGAGGCCGGGAGTCAAATGCTAAGCCTGTGTACAGTGCCGAGAAATCTAGACCACTTCAAGTTATTGAGGTGGGTGCAGCATTGTTCATGCTAGACTAAGCTAGGTTATTACTAGTCTAGCACATTATTCCCGCTGGACAATGCTACATTACAGTGCCAGGACAATAGGGGAAAAAAAGATGTTTAAGCTCACCAGTGACAATACTTTTTGAACTAAACAGAAAGACTGATATTGAAGTGGCACTGCTGATTTGTTGCTAACAACTACTGAATCACAGACTCACTTCACAGTCAAATTAAGAACAAAGGCAACACCTATGCATTTTTATTGAAATAACTAGGCTTGTGCGAATAGCGGATATTACAGCATTTCAATTTGCTTCAATTCTGATTTAAATTGTTAAAGATTACAAAGTATTCGAAATGAACAAATAAGCGTGTATTAGGTCGCATATAAGTCTTGTTAAGGTTGTTGTTCTGCAGTGGACGAGTGCTAAGAAGTGAAAGCACCTATTAAGGAGGGGGGGTGATGGAGGGCAAGGATGGCTGAAAGTGCAAGTTTTCAATTTTCATGGCACAATAGTCCAGCATTACTGAAAGGTGGTTCCCCAAATTGGTGGGTTTCTACGTGCAGTGGAAGGCATTTGAAAATGGCCCCAAACGCGCCTGATCCCGCGACTGCACCGCGGCAACTTCACCTTTAAGTGGCACTTTCGCCGAACATTACTTTTCGTCAGAAAAAGCACATTTTCTTCATAACCGCTGAAGCTATCAAATGCAAACATTTGTTACTTCCTTCTGAATACTATTCGCACTTTCTGAAGCAAAATAATGTTGTTGCCCTCAGAATTGTATATTTTCCCAAAGTTTTCCCTCAAGAAAAAGCCCTCAAATTCCAGACAATACATTTATACTTTTAAGTTAAGAATGATCATACCTACAAATATTATTTTGGTTCAGAAGGATAACCTGGACACGTGCACTAACCAGGAGAAATTTCACCATTTTACATGCGAAATTTTTTTTGAAAAATGTTCTTTCAAAATAAAGACAGTCAATTCATATTTCATTATTTTTTGAATGACTATATTTTCTTGTTGAGTTCACAGAACGTATAGTAAAACTTTCATTCAAACAAATTGCTAAATTTTGCTAAGTTTGCTTTAAAAATACTAGAGCAATGAACAGTAGTAGTTGCACACCTGTCTGCACTATCTATCCCCTCTTTAAAAAAAATTTGCCCTGCCACAAAGCCCCACTTCCAAGGTTAAATGAACTTGTTAGCCATCACGCCAAATCATCGTTTCTTAAGTTTAAAACATGGTTATACCAGCTTGCATGCTCCGAGCATAGTAAATTTGAAAGCGTAACATAATTTACATGTTGTCACTTGCATTCTATCAGAAGTCATCCCCTGCTACTATTCAACATTGCTTCCACTTGCTTTAAGTAAGATAAGAAAAAAAGGAAGGCATCAGCACAGGCCTTGTTTCAATGTTGTTTTTTTAAATATTGAGCAGGTCAGCTTGGTTATGACAATTATGCCCATTTTTCATCCTATATACTATTTGACTTCAATTCGAAATTATTTGACCAAAATCACTATTGACTTCATATTTGCTTTTAACTTAAAATTCACTATTTGCACAAGCCTATGAATAAGCATATTTCAAAAAAAAAAAATAAGACTGACATAGCTATTTACATTAGGACCAAATATGCAACTCCACTGAAACTCGAATTATTCAACTTTGAGGGGACAACACAACACCGTATAATTGGAAGGCTGAGAATTCACACTTTGTCTTGCCCCAAAAATAGATACAGACTGCCTGTGCAGCCTGCAGAAGAAATCTGCATTTCTTCAAGAAGGGTACACAGCATTTTTAAAGATGACGGCTAAGCATTCAATGGGCGCAAGTGTGAGCGTATTGTTTTTCTTAACATTACAAAAAGTTAGAATCTAGCACACTTCTTTATAAAACGAGGTGGGAAATTACCTGCACACAAAAACGAAATCGAAACCGCATTATCAACAGCCTGGTGTTCAACGTGCTCCTAAATAAAAGTACATTGACTTTTCTTGGCCTACTCGACATCAGACCAACACAGGCGAAATCAAACACGCATCTCTCGGGTGCGCAGCAGGACACTATAACCAATGAGCCAGAGCAACGGCTTCAACTTGACTAGATCAGCGTGGGCTTGTTCGTGTAAATTCACAGAACAATGGCACATGATTAGGACAGTCAATTTCACGCTGCTGCTAAGCTAAGCTCCCCATCCCATTCACACTGTTTATAAACACTGCTTCACATGCAACCCCAAATCAATCAGCCCCAATACAGCGTAGGCGAAGGGACAGCGAAATAAACCCACCAGGTTCATTTGTGACACCTCGAAGGTGAGGGATGGGTCATATCTGGGCGGCAGGTGCTGATATTCGATGATCCTTTCAACCCGGTAGGCATTCACCAAGGCATTAGACATCTTGAACCTGCAGAGACCACGGTGAAAAACGTATAACATGAACACTGCCTGTTCAAAACTGCTTCAAATAATGATCTCCTGAGAGCTCCAACCACTTCTTGCAGACTAAAGGAGGCAGACAGTGAGTTCTCAGCAAATCCAGCCACCTCGGTACTTAATTTTTTCCCATATTGCACTTAAAGAGTGCTGGAGTTCAACGTCACAGTATGTGTTCCATAACAGTACATGTTCGTCCTTGACGTACGCAATTGGTTGACGCTCACTTTAGCCACTGATTGAGCACACACTCCAAGACGGTGACTGATTATTGACAGGAAACAAACCCATTAAGAACCTGCTGTGCAAACTATGGATATTTATAAGCTTCTGCAAGTATTCGGATGCACCGAATATTGGAACGAATATTACAGTACTCAAATTCACTTTAATTCAAATTTCAATTATGAAAAAATTCAAAGTACTACTTGAATTACTTAAAGAGATGTGTATATTAGTCCACATGTAACCGCATGTAAAGGTGGTTTCACTGATCTTACAATCGTACAATTCGTACCCTCCCCATGTGAAAGTTGCGTAAGTTGAACCTTTGGGAGACACCTTTGTGAGGCGCTGAACTCACACACGCCTGTGAGTCGGTCACGTAATGTATGTTCACATTCCTCCTTTGCCTTACCTCTCCCCACCATCCCCCTCATTACCTCTTCCTACCATCATCCTGTCCTTTCTATCCTACATTGGTTTCTATCCCACTGTTCATCCCTATGCAGCGCTGCTGAGGTGACGTCCAAATGAGGGACAGCGCTGAACTTTTTCATTTTTCTCTCTTTTGAAGCCACTCCTTTGAAACTGCTGCATGCAGGTTCGATGGCGCCTGCCTGGTGTTCAACGTACTCCTAAAAAAAGTACATTGACCTCTCTTGGCCTACTCAACATCAGACCAACACAGGCTCCCGACGGCACACGTTGCACTGGAATGCGATGTAGAGAACTGACGGCACAGCCAATAGATACATTTAGAATTTCTCGTGGTGAATGGTTTTTCATTTCACCTAGCCATATACAGCTTTCCCTGCAACAACCTTGAAACAAAGTAGACCACCAGAGACTCTCAGAAGACATCCTGCAAAGTTTATATGTTCCACTGGCAGCTTGTGCAAGGACGCACAAAACACAGCCAACAGATGCTTCTAAATGACACAATCTTTTGACAGCACAAAGTTCCCACCAGGGACGTTCCAAGTGCAAAACACCGCCGGCCTTACCCCAACCTCCGGGCTTCTCCCAAGGCACAATTCTTGTTGTCGATTTCCATGTGGTATTGACACCTGTGTAAACAACGAAAAAAAAAATAAAACGTCATAAGAGAGGAGCACACCACACCCCTGTCTATACCCACTTCATCTCAACACTCCTCTTACAACAATTCGACCCCCAATCAGACGCACTTACGCAAGACAACAACTGGTTATTACCTATACTATTACAAGAGGCACCACTGTGCCCAAAATTCAAATAGGCGTTTCAGAAAACGAGGACACTCAGCTTATAACATCACTTCATATAAGGCACAGGAACTACTCCAGGGTGCATGTCTAACAAAGGGGTTCAGATGCATATCAAAACAACTTCTAGGCTTGTAGAAAGATTCCTTCCCTTTCAACATTAGCATCGATGTCTTCTTTTTCGGGCTTCTTAGGGGGCCACAAAAATCGCTAAAAATTTGGCAGTCTTTAAATAAACTTATGTATTTCCATATACCGTAATTACTCGAATCTAACGCGCACCTTTTTTCCGGTTAAGCGAGTTTATTAATTGCATGCGCGTTAGAATCGAGTACGAACAAAAAAATTACGGTCAATCTATTGCCATCGGCAAATACAAAATGACCGTCCCCTACGTGCGTCGGCATGGCGCGTCGGCCATTTCTGCCTATGTGTTTCCCATGTGCGGCACTTCGTACGTGTGCTGAGGAGTTCGTCATCTAGTAGTGCATTAGCATCGACGGCGTGGAAGGGCCGACTCCAAAAACTCGATAGCACCACGATGCCGCTTTTAAAAGAAAAGTTATGGCGTGTGCAGAAACGGACGGAAATCGGGTCGCATCGCGGTCGTTCGGAGTTCCCGAAACGTGCGTGCGGGACCGGCGGAAACAAAAGCAGAAGATTCTCGACAGCAAAGCTTCACGCAAAGGCTTCAGTGGACCACAGCAGGGTCGGTTTCCGCAAATTAAAGAGCTGCTCGGCAAGTATGTGCTTGAGCAGCGAGCGGCACAGCGGCCCGTGACGACAGAACTGCTCCAAGTGCGGGCTATGCAATTAGTCTTGGAAAAAGGTCTAATGCAGAGCCAGCTTAAAGCGAGCAGGTGCTGGCTAACTAACTTTATTTAGAGGAAAGGCTATTCCCTCCGAAGGGGAACATGCATATGCGAAAAGTTTTGCGGAGGAGTACGATGAAAAGCTTCACAGTTTTCAGAGGTTCGTCCTAAACTTGCGGCGCAACAACGGCTACCTGCTTGGGCAAATCGGGAATGCCCATCAGACGCCTCTTTACTTCGACATGCCTGGCACCACAACCGTCGAAAAGAAGGGGGCGAAGCAAGTTCGCGTGTTGACATCGGTCCACGGTAAAACTACCGTGACGGAAAGCTCTGTTACACGTCAGATGGGCACAAGCTTCGCCCGTACCTCATATTTAAATAGAATACGCTCCCGAAAGGAGTAGTTTTTTCGAGTGGTGTGATCGTGCGGGCCGGCAAGAAAAATGGGTGCGCGTTGCAATTGATGTCTTACGTTTTTTTTTTTTTTCGCGGTGGAAATCGGGTGCGCGTTACAATCGAGGGCGCGGTAGAATCGAGTAAATACGGTAGTCACCATATGATTTTAATTCCCAGAACCATGATACGATTACAGACCATAGCAAAGGGCACCAAAAATTTCGACCATCTATTGTTGTGTAATGTGCATCTAAATCCAAGCACACGAGCATTTTCACCTTAGTCAAAAATGCAGCCACTGCGGTTGGCTCTTTTTTACTTTTTTTCAAGCAGTCAAATCACCACAATCATACACAAAATGACACTGAAGACCCCCAAATACAGTCAGAGGCATTTCGATGCTCGCTCAGACTATTACGTCCAGTACCTGCTAGAACCACCACTAAACCAGAAACCCCGATTATACAACTTTTAGGGGACCACACAAAACCGTCGTATAACACGGGCATTGTATAATCGAAAAACAAAGATTGAAGACTGCAACACTCAGCCTTGCTCGAAAAACTGGTACAGACTGCCTGAATAAGCACACGGCATGACCTTCTGCCTCTGCAATGAGGATAGATTAAGTTACGGTTGCCAGTGGTAGCTAATTACAGCAACAAGTAGTTGAAGGAGGTCCGAGCAAATCTTCATTCTCAGCCTTAAAAACAATCAATTTTAAAGCGCATCTTTCCACTGATAAATAGAGTTTGAAAATTGCCTGCGTGTGAAAACGAAACCATGCTGCCGTGGGCGTCTCATCAAAAGAGTCAGACGCAGTGCCATCGCTATCGCATAATGGCAACGGACGAGTTTATGTACGATGCGTTCGTGTGCGACAGCTGTGCGTGTTGTCATTTGTTGCCTTGTGAAGTGCAACTAGCAGTGTCCCGCTGTTGTTATGAACGTTGACATCAAGTGAAAGCAATTTTGCACAGCAAAAGCACCTGCGTCGTACCCTTAGGCGTGCGCAAACCAGTGACTGCGAGTGTGACAGAGGCAGGAGATCATCCGTATGTCGACCAGGAAACGTTTCCACAGACCGAAAGCGTGAAAATATCAGCTTTTTGGTCAGCTGTACCTACTCCGGACTAGGTAACGACCCGGAATACGTATGCACGCGATTGAGGCGTATGTAGATGAGCATGAACTTGCGGGAGAATAAATTTTCCATTTGATGAAGGTGACTCTATTTTTCCTATAGTCTTCCTTGGAGTACGCAAGTTCATATTTTGCCCTCGTGAATATTTAGTCGACATGCGATTCGAGTAAAGGTGTTTTTTTTTCGTTCCGACGAAACCTGAAGGTTGTCGTAAGATGCGGGATCAGGGTAAAACTGTGTCGTATAACCAAGGTTTTTAATACACTGTTTCTATGGGGATTTTGCCGGGACTGAACCGGTTCGTCGTAACATTCAGGTCGTCGCGAAACCGGGGTACGTATAATGGAAGTTCCACTGTACAGTTGCGACCACATCTGTGCATAGCGCGGGAGCAACCAGTTTTGCTCTGCGGTGCGACACCTTGTGGTTGTTGTGGGTCGTGACGTCACGTGTACAACAGCTTGCGCGGCCTCACAGACAAGCAGGCAATATCTACACGGGCGACAAAAGCGGAAGGTGTGCTTGTTTAGCTGAAGATTCGCAGTCCCTCAGGGCGCTTTTCGACGAAGCGTGTTTCGATTGATAAAACGCGCCTGCATCAACGATGCATGCTTTCTGAGCATTTTGAGGCATGCGATTATATGACGATATGATAATGCCAACAGCTGCATAATGAAATCTATATGGCCACAGAGAGTGCCTCGTTTACGCAGGCGCGTGTTATCAGCGAGCACGAGGATTCGGTTAAACAAGCACACCTTCCCACGTTGTCACCGATGCAGAGAAGGCCTGCATGTTTGTAAGGCCGCGCAAGCTCCAGTGCACGCAACGTCATAACCCCCAACGGCCGCAAGGTGTCACACCGCAGAGCCAGGCCGTCTGCTCGTGCGCTATACAGAGACGTAGAGCGGCTGTACATACATGCCTATTGCTTCTAGTGACAAATGCTGCCGACACTAGCAAAGTGCCGAAAAAAATTGAGGCTCTCTTGCACAATAGCGGTGCATTATCGCACGACGGCGATGACGCAGAATGCACAGGCAGCGGTGCGAGAGCAAACAATTTGTCCATCTTTTCCCACCAAGGGTGCCCCCAAACATGTGGTCAAGTAGAAAAATGTCCTCGTCAAAACTGAGCACTCACAGACGCTACCACTGCCCAAATGCTTGTGGTACGGTACATTTAAATTGCTGCAGAGATTTTTCACACTGCCCAGTGTGTTCACGATTGCGAAAGGACATGGAAATGGCAAGGTACTTTCCTTCCTGAAATTTAATGTGTCTGTCCAGTGCACTACGCAGTCGTACACAAAAGGGCAGCAGTACTTTATTTGCATGTAAACGACGCTACCACGATTGTAACACGAGGGGGTACTTTTGGTCTCAAGAAAAAAAAAGTATATTTGGTTATAACGAAAAGTAATGCAACTGCAAGCAGCAATGAAAAGGTGGTCCTACCAATAAATTACAACCACTCTTGCAGAACACAAGGCCGTAAATATTTTATCTTCATAGGTACATTTTTTTAAGAGGTGAAATAAAAATTCTCGCTTTTGTCGGTATTTATGCGTTTGGCTGACCACAACAAGCACCCGTTGGTCAGCGGCCATCAAAGGAGTCATCCCAAGTCGCGGCTATTTGATCGTCTACAAATGTTTGTTACTGTGGTGAGCTATCGCATGCAATACGAGCAGTTCTTAGGTCACCACGCGTGTATTTCACTCCTTGAATTCTTTCTTGCTTCTCGGCATTCGGTGCTTTTCAGCATTTGGTGCTTTTCTCCAGCTTACGTTATTTTCAGAGCACCCATGTGCGTTCCCACCTTAAAAGGCAACTCACCAGGTTTGACAATTTTGAGCTGACAAGAACAATGCGTACCTACATGGGGCATTCCCGATCACGTCTGCCAAAATTCGCAACAATATGCGTCGTGGAAATCGGTGAAATCTCAAGATGAACACTGCTCTCCCTGACTTTCGTGGGTGCACGCCAGAGAATGAGGGCATGACGTACACGTAGGAACTGCTCTACGTACACGGCAGTGCTGCGACGTTGGTCTTCTACGTAGACGACTGCGCTGCGCTTCGACGTTGACAACAAAAGCATGTGTCATGGCGAAAATTATTTAACAGGACATGTGTAGTTTATGTAATTTGTTGGTGGAATGGATGAATAAAGCTTTAGATAAATAATGAGACGCAAAAAGGGAATGTGTGCATTTTTTACACCCCTCCCCCGGTGAATTGCAACGAGTAGTGGGGCTAATGTAACTGTGTTTAGCATGCGTTTATGTCCCCGCGATTAGCGCATCAAGCTGACGTCTGTCCTGGAAAAGAACTTAAGGACTGACGCGGCTTTGGTATCGCCAAAAATGGCAAAAATATCGATTTCTTGAAAATCAAGTTTTCAGTTTCTGGAATCCTTTTTCTATCCGATTCCAAAATATCTACCCTGAAAGCCATGCAAAGT